AGGTGGGCCTCACAAATGAGAGGCTAATCTTGGGGGAGTTGGTGTCTCTTTTCCCTTTGGACTCTGGTCGCCTAAAGATCACTGGGACTCATAGCCGGGGCTTACGTACCCTCCTTCAGTTTGGGGAGAGCTCCAGTCGCTGCATCACAGGTCTCCGAAGAGGTGGCAATGGGCATTTCCTAAAAATAACCTAAATAAATGGCAGATCCCTGTTAAATTGGCACACGGATCCCCAGATACAAAATTTTGTAGTTGAATAAAAATAGGAAATAGAGGCGGAAGATGGGGAGTATTCTGAGAAGAGCAGAAAGAGAGTAAGAAGTCAGAGAAGAGCAAGAGGTTTTCCTTTTCCATGCCTTGATTCTGCTTCTGGCCTACTCTTGGCGTAGCTTGAGTGGGTTACAAGCCTACTGGGAAAACTGCACGGCGAAAAAGAGGGAGAGCCCCCGGGGGGGGGGGAAGTGGTTGTCTTCCTTTTCCTGGGACCTTCGAGCCGCTCCCCCTCTCCCAGCGGGTGAAGGACTCGTGTGCCCTCTGCCCAGAAGTCCTGGCCGGGGGTGGTGGTGGTGGTGGGTGTCTCTCGTTCTAGGCCCGGCATGGCAGTGGGCAGGACGCAGTCTCTGCGCAGGGAGCTCAGTTGTTTCTGCTTGTGAAGAAATCAAGAGCTAGCAGGAATTACTTTCACGAAATCACTTCCGGCTTTTCTCAGTTCATAATGTTTGAGACATTCATTAGGTCTTTAAGTATCTGGGTTAGAAAACATGAGCTCATTTCCACCACCTCTTACAAGAGGGCCTTAAGGGTCCCCTCTGGCGGACGTGTGGCCGCGTGAACAGACCGGAGGTGGGTGGGTGGGTGGGTGAGTGACGGGCCCCCCGAGTGCCGCGGGAGCCTCGTGGAGGCTGGCGGCTCCGACTCTCTGCCGGCCTCTGGGTTCCCACCTGGCACCGGCAAGGCCTCCAGAGGGCGAGAGCTTTCCGAGCCCCCTCTCCCACCCCCCTTCTGCCCTCCCCACAGTCCAAGGAGGCCCAGGCCCAGGTGGTGTCCAACCTGAGGAGCATCTCCATGTCGTCCAGCAAGCTGTTGCTGGCGGCCAAAGCCCTTTCTGCGGATCCTGCCGCCCCCACCCTCAAGAACCAGCTGGCCGCTGCTGCACGGTAGGGCTCCCTCCGTCCCAGTGCTGGGAGGCGGGGGGGGGAGGGGGCGAGACGGCTGCGGGAGGGCGGTTGGGGGGCACCTGTTCCAGTGCCCCGGGGGGGGAGGGGACCTCACAGCTTCCCAGCAGGAGCTCTCCTGGCCACGGTGACGTGGGGCTCCCAGGACACGCTCGCGTCTTTGCAGGGCGGTGACGGACAGCATCAACCAGCTGATCACCATGTGTACCCAGCAAGCCCCGGGCCAGAAGGAGTGTGCCAATGCCCTGCGGGAGCTGGAGGTGAGTGGGCCGGCAGTGCCCGGGAGCGGGGCCGACTGCTGAGGGCCGGCGGGTGGGGTGGGGTGCCGGGTCAGAGCAGGGAGGGACCCTGAGCTCGCCTCTCCCCTTGGCCCCCCAGACGGTGCGAGAGCTCCTGGAGAACCCCACCCAGGCCGTCAACGACATGTCCTACTTCAACTGCCTGGACAGCGTCATGGAGAACTCCAAGGTGAGGAGCGGACTGGTCTCTCGGCAGGGCGGAGGGGGGGGGGCTCGAGGGAGCTGCCTCTCCGTACGAGCAGCCGCCTTTCTGTCTCCGGCAGGTCCTGGGCGAGGCGATGGCTGGCATTTCCCAGAATGCCAAGAACAGCAAGTTGCCTGAGTTTGGTGACTCGATCAGCACCGCCTCCAAGGCCCTCTGCGGCTTCACTGAAGCGGCTGCCCAGGTGAGAGGAGGCCAGGCCCAGAGGGCGGCCGGGGGGGGGGAGGGGCTGCCCCCAAGCCCCCTCCTCTTGGGCTGTTCCTACCGGCTCTTCTCTCTGTCCCCCCCCCCCAGGCAGCCTACCTGGTTGGCGTCTCTGATCCCAACAGCCAGGCCGGCCAGCAAGGCCTGGTGGACCCCACCCAGTTTGCGAGAGCCAACCAAGCCATCCAGATGGCCTGCCAGAACCTCATCGACCCGGCCTGCACGCAGTCACAGGTAGGAGGGGGCCTTTCTTCCAGGGCTGCTCGGCTGAGGGCCGCTGCCAGAGCTCTGAGGGCAGGTCACATGACCGGGCTGACGGAGGGGGAGGGCACAGCCCGGGGAGGCCGGCCCCTCCCCAAGACGAGGCCTTGGGACAGAGGCTGCAGAGCTCTGAGGAGACACTT